CATGTTGACTTATATTGCATAGACCAGTGTTTCCCAACCTTTTTTTTGTCGCGGCACCCTTTGGAAATTTTAACAAACTTGTGGCACCCTACAAAATTAATTTTGTCACAATATTTGAATTTCTAACTTCGATATGATAATTTGAAAAGTATAGATATTCGGTACAACAGGGAAGAACTGCAGAATATAATGTCATACAGATATTTTTAATATTATAAAAACAAATGTGTCTATCAATGGTGGCAATCAGTAGGCTAATTTCTAAGAGACCAATTTATATGACAGATTTTAATGTAGGCCTTTATTCATATGTAAACATTGTGAGATAGCTAGTTATAATGGTAATTAAATAATGTTTACATATGACAGCTGGATAATTTTGTTGCAGTAGCACGAGATAGCTTGATTTAAAACTTTGAATTGAATAAAAAATGACAAGGAGGCTAAGCAGACGCAGAGCGTCACACCACGTGAAAGTGAAACCTGAGCGGTTAACTAATTTTCGGCAGCCGGAATTTCGGCGCATCTCTAATTATTGGCGACATCAGAAATGGATATTATATAATAGATGCTTTTTTGAATATTTTAGCAATTTAAAAATATTAAAAAAGGATTTTTTACACGGCACCCCTGCTCTCGACAGACGGCACCCCGGTTGGGAAACACTGGCATAGACAACCCATTTTAAAACACACTGTAAAAATACTACAGTTAAAAACTTTAATTGGTTAACTTAGTCCCTGCTTGGCATCACATGATTATATTTGATGTAAATAATTTTGTTTCTTCTTATTTTTGCTATCAGTAATGTACATTAGGGTGTGTTGCATTTAGATAATGTTTAATGTTTATTGCATTATTTTAGTGCCGTGTGTTACCAAGATGATGTTTTATCTTTGCACCGTCTATACAAGTATTGGCCATGTTTAATGGACAAGCATCTTACAATGAACTCAGATTCATCATGTGCCTTTTTATTGTACCAATAGTATTATTATGGTGGTGGTGAACTGTATATTTTATAATAAAAAGCAGATTTTGGTTCTTCAAGTAAATTGGTATGTTAACATTATCATAATCACTTGAATAAAATAGATGGCTGTTAGTTACAGGCATCCCATAATACCCGGAAACACTGTCACAGTATTTTGACAGTGAATTTCTGGCAACCACAGCTGCCAGTTTTTTAAATATAAATTTAACAGGATATCGATATTTTATGGTGTATCTTTTTTGTGCTCCACAGAAAAGAGAAAGTCAGACAGGTTTGGAATGACACAAAGGCAGAGGCGGACAAAGTACACAACTCCATTACTTAAGTGAAAGTACAGATACTGCTGGTCAAATATTACTCCATTACAAGTAAAAGTTGTAAAGACAGATTTTTACTTAAGTAAAAGTACAGAAGTACTTGCTTTTAAAAGTACTTAAGTACCAAAAGTAAATTTCCTTTTTTATGTCAATGCACTGTTTTATTATTGTTGTAAT